ATTATACCCTTCTTATTTTTGTCTTTATTTATTAAAACTATGTGTTTTCCTAACATTATGAATAATCCTAGGGTCAAATACTCCAGTAATGAACTTCGATCAACTGGTTCTCATTCAGCTACAGCCATAATTTTCTTTCTCCACGTCACCATCTTCAACTGGTTATTTACTTATTATAAGATGAAGTGTAGAATAAAACTGGCCGTACTGTTCTAAACTCAAAACCCTGTCATTTGTTTTCATAAAACCTAATTTCGGCTCGAGGACGCAGTCTGTGGGCACACTGTTCTATTAAAGTGGATCACATAGATCGGATTTTATCACGGATACTAACCTCCTTTAAGGACCTAATTACTGACATTTGTGTAGTATATAATATATAGAATTATGAACGTAAACACGAAAGAATAAAGTAACTAAAACACACTTCACTGATTTCAGTACAAAGCTTTGCAAAGTTTCACGTGTATATGTGTGTGTGTGTATATATATATATACATAGAATCTATAACTGGTAAAAATTTACTATACATGTGATACGTTCACACATCCAGATGTTCGTTTCTTCCATTGTACAATAAAATCGTTCTCTCGAGAAGTGGGCTAAGAAATATTTATTGTTTACAATCTCTTCTGTCTACTGTTGTAAGATAAGATGTAAGGTTGAGTACAAAAACACTTCAAAAGATTTCTGACAAGATAAAATTTATAACTTTCTTAATTTTTAAATAATTTAATTATTCTTCCTACAGTAAGGTCATTTAACGAGAATTTCTTAGATTAATAATTTTTAAATAAATTAATTATTCTTCCTACAGTAAGGTCATTTAACGAGAATTTCTAAGATTAATAATTTTAAAATAAATTAATTATTCTTCCTACAGTAAGGCCATTTAACGAGATTTTCTTAGATTAATAATTTTTAAATAAATTAATTATTCTTCCTACAGTAAGGTCATTTAACGAGAATTTCTTAGATTAATAATATTAAAATAAATTAATTATTCTTCCTACAGTAAGGCCATTTAACGAGATTTTCTTAGATTAATAATTTTTAAATAAATTAATTATTCTTCCTACAGTAAGGCCATTTAACGAGATTTTCTTAGATTAATAATTTTTAAAATAAATTAATTATTCTTCCTTCAGTAAGGCCATTTAACGAGATTTTCTTAGATTAATAATTCGGGTAAAAAATTATCGTACTGTTTTTTATGGGGTCTTCCGCTGGAACAGCCGTAAGTTTACGGACTTGGAATGCTAAAATCCGGAGTTCGATTCCATGCGGTGGACACAGTAACTATCCATACTATTACAGTCACTTGACGTTTGCTTTCAGGATACGTTTAATACGTTATTTATATATTTAACTGCTTGAGTTACACAAACATTAAAAAGTTGATATATGATATTTAAGGTGCAGATAGTTAGTCATCCCTTAAAAAATGACCCGAATCTTCAAATTCAACACTGATATAGATGTTTATATCATAAACTCAATTACGTAGCAGACTGTAAACAAACATTACAGTTTGAAGCTTATAATATGGAACTCTTTATAATATGGAATACTAGAAACTGTTACATTCTTCTCAATCTAGATCTCTTTTAACCAATAAAGCGAAAAGACCAAAGTCTGTGTCCTTAATTATTTATATAATATCTCAGTGACATTATTGCACAGTTTTGGCCATAATGTTTGAATATTTTGTAACAAATAAGATAATTATTATCAAAAATGAAATACAAATACACTTGGCGCTGTCAAACTGAGAAATACATGTTATATTAAACATCTACATATGTAATCTGTATAACGAGACAGGTTCCATGGACATCATGAACGATTTATTAGAACACCAAGCAATTTTATCAGAGGCCTGTAGTATGATGTGTAAGTCAGCATTTTACCTATTACAATAAAACCTTACCAAAACATATATAATGATAAAATATAACATTAAATTATTATAGATAGCGTCTGTAACCTCATGTCAGTTCATATCAAATATTCAGTACTTGGTTGGTTCTTCTCTTTTTCTAATAACATCCACAAGGCGATATGGCATGTTTTATGTGAGGTTATTGCTGTAATCCAGTGCTATTTCATCACAATTTGGCACTAGAAAGCACTATAACTCAAATACAGTAGCTGGTTTAGGTCGTGGTTAGCAATTTCCTGGCTCATTTCTGCCCAACAGATCTCAATAGAATTACAAGCTGGATACTTTGTAATGTCCTCCTGGTCGAGATAATCCTGTACAATACATGCACTGTGGGCAGTGACATTGTCATCCTGAAACACAAAGTTATTGTTAAACCTTGCCCTAGCATATGCCATAAATATCTTCTCTGTGTGATGCCTGAAGGTGCCATTGACGTTTCCCTGGAGCATATGAAGAGCAGTTTTTCCATCATGATGAATAGCTGCCCAAACATGTATTGCACCCCCCCCCCTAAGTGTTCCCCATGGGAAAG